CATGGGACTTTGTAAGTCGGGTTATAACTAAGGTAACTATACTTATATTTACTTATCACCCCAATTAAGGGACTTACAACCTTACTTACAAAGTCACCATGATCTTCCAAGTACCCGGTTAATGAAACCCGGAACCACCCAGCTCCCCATGTCATGGCTCGCGGTAGCCACTCTAAACCCCAAACTGCTTTAGGGTTTACAGGGTTTATAAGGTGAATTTATAGGGTTGATAGGGTTTACAGGGTTTAGGGTTAGCAAGCCTGAACCCCACAATAATCATAACAGTTCTGGGTACACAGCTCTACCCTAAACCCTAAACCCTAAACCCTGAAGTCTCTGCATACGTCCTGAGAGCCTTCTGCCCTTAGCTAAACAACAGCAACAGCTCCGGGTCCTCCAAGCACCGGGGTTCGCGGGTTTAGGGGTTTAGGGGTTTAGGGGTTTAGGGTTTAGGGTTTAGGGATTAGGTCGTCCGCATGGCCATCACTGTGTCCCTCCTCACGATTTCCATCCCCCTGGCGCTGACGCCGAAGAAGCTATAGCAACTCGTTCTCGCTAAGGCCGGCTGCTTTCTTTAGCAAACGCCTTCTCTTTCGAAGGTGGCGTAAGACTGCCCGAGAAAACCCGGTATGGCAGATGCAACCCGGACCGAGGAAAGGCAAGAAAACTGAGCCTCCTTGCGCAGGGACTTAGTCGTTAACTTCACAGCACTCTCACTTGGAGGATCATGGGACTTGGTAAGTAAGGTTATAAGTCCCCTAATTGGGGTTATAAGTATGGTTACGCTAATTATAATAACCCTACTTACTAAGTCCCATGATCCTTTAAGTAAGGGCCTGCCGCTGGGCTGTTAGGTTGCTGACCGCGGCTTTTTTCTCGAGCCAAGATGACACCGAAGTTCCTCTGCTCTGCCAGTGACTCTAAGCCCGTCTAAACCCCTAAAGCCCTAACCCTAAACCCTAAAGCCTGTCCCCGAAAAACCCTAAGCCCTAAGCCCTTGTAAAACCTAAAAGAAACCTGAACCATGACCTCCGAACAGTCTTGCCGCAATAATAATCAGAATAGGGTTTTGGGGTTTATTATGCTACAGTTACAATAAGGAGCCCCCCAAAATACTACAGGCAGAATATTAAGGCCCCTACATTACATTAAAAGATCCACGAAGGAACTAAAGGTTAACCTTTGGGAGTATATACATATATATATATATAGATTGCGACTATGATGCCCCGCAGCAGTCGCAGGTTACCTACTCTACGACTTGGCGTAGATTAAAGGATCCTAACTTGAAAACTGGTCAGCTCAAGAATGAGCTACAATGTGAGTGTAAAGGTAAACTATAATCCTCACAGAACTTTCACACATGAGCCTTGGAATCTGACATCCGAAACCGATTGAAGTTTTGAACCCCACACGAAAACCTAGAGCCCTAGAAAGACCATTTCAAGTCTTGTTAACCCTCGTAGCCCCCTTTCTAGAAATCATAAGAGCCCATATGGAAATACCTTCTTTTATTTGGGCATATCATACTACATGATACTCTGGGGATACTCGTCTCCAAAACACTATGCAACCTACATAACTACCGAATCTAGGCACCTCGATACCCTTACCCTAAACCCTAAACCCCAAACCCTAAACCCTAAGCCCTAAACCCCAAACCCTAAACCCTACTAGGTCCTTTGGACCCCTAGGGCTGGGTCCAGTTTTGAAAGCCGGGGGGCCAATCCTCTCGCGAGGCGCGCCCATTCTTCCAGCGCAGCGCCTGCGGCTGAAGATTCCTCGGAAGGCGAAGAAACCTTTGACGTATAGGACTTTGCGCAAATGTGATACGCTGCTATACTTTTCATGGCTCTTATAAGTAGGGTTTTCATAGGTGTTCAGAATTTCATTTCGGCATGGGGGTATGGGCCTTGAGTTTAGCTCTAGGGCCGTATACGTCTTGATTTTGGGAGTTGGCGGGTAGGGATTGGGCTTCAGGGTTCGCGCACCAAGCCCTTATCCTAATACTCCTGGGTCCTTGTAGGGAGATCCCAAACCCTAGCCCCCCCAAAGCCGGAACCCTCACGCATTCAGCCCCAAACCCTAAACCCTAAACCCTAAACTGAGGAGCCCTTTAACGCTCAGAACTGACAAGCCTAATTGAAGGCTCAAGTGGCCTGGCTGGTGGGGCCCTTATGCCGGATTGATTCTAGTCTATACACCCCGCCCCCCCAAAAAAAAACA